GAAATGCCATGTCACCATCGAGAAGGACGGGGGCTGCAACCACATGGTCTGTCGGAACCAGAACTGCAAAGCGGAGTTCTGCTGGGTGTGTCTGGGCCCCTGGGAGCCCCACGGATCTGCCTGGTGAGTTCAGGGGCGTGCCTTGCTGGAAGGCAAGGAAACCGTGATGCAGGCGGCATCAATTTGGACTGAAATCTGTGGAATCGATGTCCCTGTTACAGGTACAACTGTAATCGCTACAATGAGGATGATGCAAAGGCGGCAAGGGATGCACAGGAGGTGAGTCCATAATCTTTGATGATAAAGGAGATCACCAACCCTGTGGCGTGCTTTCGGGCTTTCTGTAAACCTATAAATCAGCTCTGAAGAATTTCCTGGACTTGGACACAAATCCAAAAGACAGTTAAGTTTCCTTGCAGCTTTGGACTTTTGCTTCGTGCCAGGAAAAAAAAAATCAAAGCCACTTTAACCCAATTTAGAGAACATGTTAACTCAGTTGTTATCTGTCATGCTGCCTTGCCTGTTTTATAGCAGCTATTTATGTGAAGTCATCATCATGCTGTAGGTCTGAGACAACAATCCTTACATCCTTCATAAAATGCTCTTTACTGCAAAGTTCTTGATGCAAATCCTGAGGTGTTTAAATACAGCAGACCTTCTGAATGTAAATAAAATAGACTGCTGTCATTCCAATAGCTATCCTTGAAGGCTTGACAGAGAAGAAATTGTGGGTGAAGTTGTAGCTCCGTTAAACTGTTCTGTGAATATGGATAGAGCCAAAGCCCTTTTTAATGGGGAAGGATTGCATGCTGTGTGCTGCAACTTGCAGAAATCCATTTCCTGCATCTCAGTCAAAGTACCGCTATAGCCAAGAACCAAAGTCTTCCCTGCAGATAGGGATGACTTTGGCTGATACATGCTAGCTTTGCACAGCCACAACATACAAGCTTAACCATGCCCATGTTGTCATTTTTTTTACAGCTGATCTGTCACTAAGAAGAAAATAAAATTAATGGCTGTGTATTGAGTCATCTTGATTCTCTTGTACTACGTAGCACATGGTGTTTTTCCCCTGCTCTGTAATCTGTGTGGCCTAGGCAACCTAAGGTTGCCCTCTTAACACAAGCACAGTAATTGTTTAATTGAATTCCTTATTAGGAAACAAAAAAAAATCTGCTTCTCACTGTTTGTCATGACACTGGAAGTATTTAAGTTCTGTAACTTGAATTGGGAGGCTGAAATTAAAAATTTCATTGCACAATGTCAGGGTTGACAGCGCTGCACAAAGTGGCGCCGTCTCAGTCTGGCCAGCATGAGAGGAGAGGAAACGCCTTTGGCAAGGAAGCTTGTTCTCAGGGTCAGGAAGAGCCTTCTGAAGGGTTTACTTCTCCTTCAGCCATTACTTTGTTTTAACAATTTGTTTTCTTTTTTCCTAATGGGAATTAACACAGCGATCCAGAGCAGCCCTGCAGAGGTACCTGTTCTACTGCAACCGCTATATGAACCACATGCAGAGCCTGCGCTTTGAGCACAAGCTCTATGCTCAGGTGAAGCAGAAAATGGAGGAGATGCAGCAGCACAACATGTCGTGGATCGAGGTGCAGTTCCTGAAGAAAGCAGTCGACGTCCTCTGCCAGTGTCGTGCCACACTCATGTACACTTACGTCTTTGCCTTCTACCTCAAAAAGAATAATCAGTCCATTATCTTTGAGGTAGGAGAACACGTGGTTGTCAGGAGTTAGATTCCAAAGCTAAGCGAAATAGGGATTTAATGCTTGGAGGAGCTTTTGTCCCCAGTTTTACCGAAGTGAGTCTGTCTTAATATTCTGTTGTACAGAAGTTAGGGGCCGTGCAGGGCATCGTGTAGCATTCTCTGCTGGAGGAGGACATAAAGTTACAAGATGCTGCCCTCTGAAACAAGAAAGGGAATGAGGTGCTGTCTTGAACTGGCAAAGAAGGCATGAAAGCTTAAATCTGTCATTTTGCCCTTCCCTGGCATTGGCGTTTTTCCAAGGGCACTACCAGTAAAATTGCACTTGGAGGTCCAATTCATAGGTGAAACTGTATTGGCTATTTATGATTTTAAAACAGTCCTGTGCTGGTCTTGGTACAGAACCTAAGCAGGATGCATCTGTGCTGCGTACTCAGCAAAGGGCGCACAGAACTACTGCACGGTAGTGAAAGCTGTGCTCTGATGCTGCTGTGCGTGTACCTGGAGTCAGCAGAGGCTTTGTGAATGCTGGTAAAAAAAAAAAATAGTCAAGGGACAGAATGGGAGATGAGTTGTCGTGTACTGCACTGTATCACTGGTAAGGAAAGGATTCTTTTAGGCTTGCCAGGATCTTGCAGATCAAGGAAGGTGTAAGACTTGCTGGTAGATGTGCAGATTTTCTTCTGACAAAACGAAGAAATTTTGGCTTTTTCGATCTTGATGCTCAGAGCCGGTTACTAGTGTGTTACACAGTGAATGTCTAATCCTGCTTTTTGGTTTAGTACTGATTTTGGTTGGATTGAAGAAAAATCTCTTTCTTTCCTTGCCCCCCAAAATATGCTGCCTTTTTTTTTTTGTCTTTCAGAATAACCAAGCAGACTTAGAGAATGCTACAGAGGTGCTTTCTGGGTACCTTGAACGAGATATATCCCAAGATTCACTGCAAGACATAAAGCAGAAAGTACAGGATAAGTACAGGTTTGTTTTTGAATAATCCTCTATCTCAGAGCTGCCTGAGTACCTGTGTTGTCATCCTGTGACAGCTGTGTACTTGCCAAGCTACAGTTTTCTCCAGGGTCGTGTCCCTGGGAAGCGGTTTGTTGTTGGCCTTCTGCCATACATTGTGATCATCCACCGGTTCCTGGGCATCGGACAATAGCAGCAGTGGTGTCCTGAAATCATCAGCGGTGAAGCCCTCATGCAGATGCTGGCAGCGTGGTTTTGTGCCCCTGCTGGGACCAGCCCTCGGGGAAGGTTACAGCCTGCAGGGAGGGGTTCCCAACTCTGCCTTGTCAGCTCTGCTGAGCAGTAGCCAGAGGATTCAGTCGTATAATGGAAAAATATAGTGACCAAAAACAATGACTCCTCCTACACTGCCGATCCTGCACAGAAGGAGCACGTGGAAATGGCCAGGACCAAGATAGGACCTACATAGTGAGGGCCAGAGAAGAACAGGGAGTGATTTTCTTCCCAGCTGGCAGCTTTGGCCTAGAATGAGTTGCCATGAGAGCAGTCAGCTGTTTTATTTCTCTCTTGGGTCCGTTTGTGTGAAAAGTGGGTGTAGAAAAGCTGCCTGAAAGAACAGGGAGAGTGCAACCTGCCCAGCTGGGGAGGAGAGCAGAAGAACTGGGGTCCAGGTGACACAAATACCAGTGCTTTTTTCAGTGCCAGCGGAGTTGCTTCTGCGCAGTGGAAAAATACAAAGCTGTAAATGTAGATGAGTCACAGGATTATGGCTTTCATTTTTGAGGCATTTTGCCAAAGCCACTGAATTTGTTAATGCTAGCTTGGGGGGGAGAAGGGGAGGAGGAAGCCAAAGTAGGGTGAGCTGTAGTGTCTGGAGGCCTCTGGGGAGTGGAAGGAGCCATTAGACTGCGGTGGGCCTGTGGTCCATTCTGCTGTAGTCTGGCAGCACTGGGGCTGGGCAAGACTTACCAGACCTTCTCTTTTGAGACATTTTGTAACTCACCTACTTAATGGTGATCTTAAAGGGTGTCTCAGATCAAACTGCTTCTTCACTTAAGTCCTCTGAAACTGGATGCTCTCCTAGGAACGATAACAGCTATCCAGAAGAAATTAAAACCTAAGAATACACTCTCAGGCAGTTCAGGCTATAGTATCCCAAACTTGCCATCATGTTTCTGGGAAGAAAGTATGCATCTGTCAAGCCCGCGCAGGTCCCTAATTAACTAGTTCAGTCATGTCTTAATCATGTCCTGCATGGTGCTCTTTGTGTTCCGGTTATGGGGTACTGATGCAAGACTGGGACCAGGGGTGTTATCGAGGTGGGTTTACAGAGCTCTGGGAAATTGCAGGAACTGACCTCCTAGCTAATTTGGTTTCAGCTGTTTTGATCTCTTAGCTTGCAAAGACATTTCTAGAAAACAGGATTAAAGCCCCACCACCAGCAGCAAAATAACTGAGGCTGGGAAAGCAGAAACTGTGCGTGTTTGTTGTCACATGCTTCAGAAAATCAGTGGGACTTTGTGTACGACGATTTCTGTTGCAACAGCTGATAGCAATGAGAAGAGCCAGAACAGTTTTTTTCGGATAAATCTGTCTCTAATAAGGTACTGAATGGTAGCAGCATAAGGCCTGCGGGTTAAGGTGAGGAATTTCTACCTACATGGTAGCCTGTGTTGTGATCAAGGATAGCTTTCTGCGAGGGTCTTGTGCTGGGAGATTCCTCCTGTGCACCTCGCTTTAGCGAGCAGGGGAATGTTTGGCCACTGCTGAGCAAGCTGGGCTCACAGATGCAAGAGACCCTCAGACGCTGCCCTGACTGATGCACGTGCCTGGAAACTGAACCACACAGTTCCCAGCAGGAACTGGTAACTCCGCAGTCAGCTCTTGGGTTTGTTTCTCACATTACAGCACACCGCTCCAGGCTGGGTGCTGCCAAACTGTGAACCGGCTACAGAGCTGTGCCTGGGGCCTGGGGAGATGTTACCAAGACTTGTCTTGTCCCCCGCATGCCTAAAGATGATGTACACTTCAGCATTGCTGCTGGAAGGGATTTAATCCAGAAATGCCTGCTGCTTATTTATATAATTTGCTCTTGGAACCTGAATACTTTAAATGTTTCTCTGCTTTTATCTTTTTAGTTCGCTAACGCACCCGAAAAGAACATGGCATCTTTTGATATGTTCCTATGATATCCCTTTTCCTCAGTGTCATTGATCCTGGTAGGACTGTACCTAACTCTGAGATCAGTTTTACTTGCAGCAGTGCCTGTTTGAGTGTAGGTGGGAAGACTCTGCAGGGCATAGTGTCCCTCTGAGATGCAGGACTTGTGATGCGAGGTAAAACTTGCACTCCAGCCAGGCCTGTAACCCTTTTCATAGCCAGCTTGCCTGCTTCCATCTCCACCGGGATCTTGGAGGGGAATAAAACGGGCTCAGCGCTCCCGAGGCTAGCTCCTGGATTTTGTTGTCCTGCTAGGGCTCAGTGAGTAGGCACCAGCCCACGTTTGAGAGCAGCTTCGTCCCATTTCGAGTGTCACTGCTAACCCGTGCTCTGGGTTTTTGCAAATTGCAGCCGCTGCTTCTTCCTTTCTCAGTTATTAATGGAGGTTTCTCAGCTGTAGGGGCTTTGGGGATACTTCTGCATGGGAAACTTTAAATTTACATGCTGTTTTTTTTCAGCCAGGGACCTGGAGTTGAGTGACTGGAGTAACTGAAGTCTTAATTAGCGCTGTTAATGGGCTACAAATACAAAGTCCCTTCTCAGGGGATTTCCTCTTTTGGAAGTGAGGCTTGCTGAAGGTTTGCATTACTCGATGCCGGGGATGAGCCGTGGTTCCTAACCTACCTTTTCTGTGCTGTTCCTCTTTGCTGCAGATACTGCGAGAGCCGGCGAAGGGTTTTGTTGCAGCACGTCCATGAAGGCTACGAGAAGGACCTGTGGGAGTACATTGAGGACTGAGACTGGCCCCGCAAAAAACGAACTCTGAAACCTTTACCATCTAGAGTGCTCATGCGATTCAAATAAAACACACAGAAGGCGCTATGCCTGTTACACCGCTGGTCTGTAGTACCGGGATTCTGTTTTGTTAACAGAAGGTTTAAGTAAATTATATTGTAATAAAAAAAGGTAGATAAACCATTGTACAACAGTATTCTAGGTGGCCAATAAGAGTGTGACAGATGCACTAAAAAAAAAACCCTCCAACTTTGACTTGTAACGTAGCTTCATTCTCCGAGCCGACTCCTTTTTCTTTTCTTTCTTTTCCTGTGTGTAGTACAGATGAAATTTAAACCAGTTTCTTGACACTGCTTTTCATGTCCAAACCAGCCATTTTGATGTACTTTGGTAAGGGGGGGGATGGCTCTCCTGCCCCCCTCCTCCTCTCTGCCACGCAAGTGCACGGATGAATGTTGATTGGCTCCTTGTAAAGATGATTCTTGGGGAGGGGAGGAGGGGGGGGTACACAGCAAGGGGAAAAAAAAACCTTTGTATATGACTTTTAAAACAAAAAGAGGACAACACAGTATTTTTCAAAGTTGTATTTAGCGCATATGCATGGACAAAAAGCAAGCGTGGCACGTGTTTGCATAATGTTTAATTACAAAAAAATATTTATTCTTTAAAAATCTTCAAGATTATGTCTATTTGCTGTGCATTTTCTTTCAGTTTTATTTTTTTGTTTCATTTTGTTTTCCCTGGGATGGGGTGGGGGAAGTGTGTGCTGGTGTACTGAATATATATATAATTTTTTTTTTATTTGGAAGGCTTTTACTAGGGAAGTTGCGTTTTCTCCTCTTCCTGTAGTTCCTTTACATTCAAGGCCTCCACGGTTTTGTGTGTGTATCCATTGCTGGCGCCGGACCTGTCCCCTCGCGCGCAGCTCCTGGTGCCGTTAACCCCGTGTGCATTGTGTTAGCGACCAGTGTACACTGGGATTCAGGACGCTTTGCCTTTGTTTTGGCCCCGGATTGCTACCTGCCACAGTCCACCGTGGCTGTTCCCATCCACGCATGCAGGAGACGCGCTCTGAACCCAGAGGAGGGGTGTGTGTGTGTATGTGTGTGTGTGTTTAGAGTTTTATTTTTCATTCTGAAGCAGGAAAAGGAGGGATGTTTTGCACCACTTCTCAAAAGACTTACAGAAAGATTTTTGGCTGTGGATCTCCTCTCCCTCCCCCTTTCATCTGTCAAACGGACCGTTCCTTGCTGTGCTAAGTTTCAGTTGCATTATAACAAGTCGTAACATTGAAAAGGAAAGATGATGGAATTGTCTTTGTGTTTGTTTTGGGCTCAATTACTGGGCATACTGTCCTGGCAAGTATTTAACACTCCATTTAGCGCAGTAGAAGCTGAAAGCAGTGGGGTATTTTTCAATTAAAAGGGGAAAGAACTAATGAGTTAGCTGAGTCCATTTTTATGATTTCTGTAACAAGAGCTATGTTAAAGTTAAAAAGTGGTGGTGGTTTTATTAAATTTACTCCTGTAGAGGAATTCCTTCTGTGGTATTTTTTGCCAGGCTGGTGCCTCTGCCACTCTGCCAGCTTCGAGGGGGAACAAACTGCAGCGGGTGATAGAGAAGGCAGATCGCAGGCAGGGCCGTAGCGCGAACTGCTGCTTCCAGCTCGCTCCCCGATCAACACTTCCAGCGCTGAACTCTTGCCCCTCGGTACCACCTTTCCCCTCCAGCGGCTCCTTTGCCCCTGGGAATCAGGCGTCAGAGCAGGCCTCCCTGCGCTGCTCCGGGCGAGCGCTGGGGTGGAGC